CCCCAAAACCCCAAAACCCCAAAACCCCAAAACCCCAAAACCCCAAAACCCCTCATGGTCACTTGGAGATTGAAAATTGGCTAACCTTTTCTGGGGAATTATTGGGAGATTAGTTTTTTGTCCAGAGTAATGAAGATCTGTTGAGGTTGTATTTCTTTCTTGATTTGGCCATTGTTTGCGTTGTCAAAATCTCTTAGGGCAAGCTCAGATCTAAGAACATAATTAACCATCAAGACCTGAATAAGGCATCCAAGGAAAAGGATTAATGGAATCCTAACCTCACTATCTTCTTCTAATCCTGCCGCTATTGTACCTAATATCGTTATAATAGATGCTACAGCTTCTTCACTAACCCTAGTAACCTTCTCAATATCTTCTGCAAGTAAAGTCTGCTTAATCAGCAGATACAGGAAGTTGTACATGAACAAGATGAAGAAAGTTGTGAACAGGATTCCACTAGCGCTTAGTTGCAGCAGATAATCAGTTTCAGCAGTGGTGAAGAAGTACAAGAAAATAATTGACAAGATTGTTCCAAGAGCGTTGGCAGCTCTGGCATCCATTAGTTGGTTCACTAAATCTTCCCTTGATGGCTTTGAGAACTGGGCAGAACCCGGAATAGATAAGGGGTTTGTTAAAGATTCAGAATCTCCTTCTGGGTTATAAGTAATATGGTGCTCGTTTATAATTCGTGTATCAGAATTGATTATGGAGGTATGATACACATAAAAAAGATAGCTTAATAAGAAATAGAAAGGAGCAAAGGATCTCCATTGAGTGATTCCATGTTCTCCAATATAATCTCTTACATCAAATCCTGGAAGAAGATGAGCAATGAATACCAATAGAAGCCAAATTGTGGTATATCTTGACACCTCATTAGCTAAAATTCTGAAAGCATCTATTTTCATTGTGACTACCAGAGTTGCATACATCATCAAGGCCAAGTACGCATAGAAGGGGAATGCAAGGATAGGCTCAATACTATCAAAAACAGAGTCAGCATCAAAGTTCAAAGTGTAGATATTGATCAAGGATACGATGACTCCTCCCATAAGGAAGAGTTTCTCGCGACCTTGGATAATGTTATCTGGCATATTTCTATCCGTAATATATAATATAAAATCTAGTCTATTCTTTATATCTCTTGCGGGGTTTTGGGGTTTTGGGGTTTTGGGGTTTTGGGG